TCTCTTAAGAATGTGATATGAAGAAAAATCTCAATGCTTTGAAAAGTCATTGGCTGATATGTTTTTCTCTCCCTGTCCTCAACAGAAATTCTTTGCTTTTTGGTCGACACAGTCTTCAGGCCTAACTCAAATTCACTTATTCCTTCAATCACTGAAATGTGCTCCTGTGCTCCAACCTTATAAAAACTGTCCTTGCAAAGACAGAAAAGAATTTAAAAGTGAAGATGGGGTTTCCAATCTATCTAGAACTCAAATTGGAGATTCTCAATCATGCGTAAATTCTCTTACAGGCTCAATCAAAATTTATTCTCATTACAGAGTTGACATGCTCCACATTACAGAAATGACTAAGGCAGGCACAATGCACAGTAGGGGTTGCAAATTCTTGTAAAGAAAACTGTACTGAGCAAGAGTTTCAAAAAGCATCTAGAAGTTTTAATTTTTTAATCATGGAATGAATTTACATGTAAAAAAAAGACTGAACTTAATAATTTTTAAACAACAAAAGTTTGATAAGTATCTCCTTTTAATTGTAAAATGTACTTCAGTAAAGATGTCTGTTTAATGGGCAATGTCTAATTGATGTTTATAAGTCCTAACTTTACAGGTGAAAATGACTACACTTACCACACACTGCCCACTCGTGAGGTCTAAATCACACAAGTCTGTGGACCACGATGGTGCACATGAACTTTCCCAATAGTCTAAAAGCAAGCTTCACTCTTCTAAGCACTGTACACTACCTAATACTACTGATCCTTCTGCAACAAATATGATAAGCACTATTATCCTGATTATTACACATGAAAATAAATCACAAAGAAGTTAATTAACTTGTCCAAGATGACAGATCCAGTAAAAAGGATAATAGAAATTAAACAAGAGGACTTTGACTTCTCAGCTCATATCTACTACACATTACTGCCTTCCATAAATAAGCATATTCAGAGGCAAAGAGAAATTACAACATAGATATAGGACTACTATCCACTGAGTGCCTGCTACAAGCCAGGCATCAGGCACTACAGATGAAAGAATTAAAAAAAAAAAAGAATGCTGGTTCTGAGGTTCTGAACTTTTCTTTGTCAAAAGGACATGTAGAAAATAAGAAAGTAACCAATTATAATGTGTGTTCATGCTTAGACAAGTGGGCTAAAGGGTAAGGGGTATAGGGGAACAAGGTACAAAGCACAACAAACATGTGGCACTCAGAGGCACCAAACTTTTTATTATAAATATTTATAACACAGTTATTTGAAATAGTATATATTTGCATATTTATATTACATAAACTCTTCTCAGTGGTGCCTGGTCATCACCTGAACAGCAAAAGCATCACAACACATAGGAATACAGGTCTCTGACTCTACACTAATTATCTTTCTCCCAGATCTTACTGCATATGGTTATTACCTGAAAACCTGCATCCCTCTCCTAATCGGACATGATCCAGAGTTCATCTGTAACCATATTCTAATTCTACATTTACGCTGTCAAGGAATAGCTCTTCTCCAGAGTAAAGGACACTGGATTTACTGTTTTTCTTCAGGTTCATTTAGAAACAAAGAAAGAAGGTGACTAGATATAAACACAAATTCAGTCCATTTCTAAATTTTACCCCAGACAAACCACGGGAAGAGAATAAGAGACATCAGAGAGGAACTCTGATGATAACAATAGCTCAGGTTTCATAAGCCGTTCCTGCTATGTGCCAAGTCTGTGCTAACAGTTCTACACACACTACTTTATTTAGTTCTCACAATGCACCTATGAGTCCTTCTGATCTCCATTTTACAAATAAGAACAATGAGGTCCAAATTCACACAAAAAATGCAGAAGTAAAATTTGAGTCATAGTATAGAGACAAGTCTGCTTTTAACCACACGCTTTGGAAAAGCACGAAAATGTCTAGGGCCAAGCAAGTAAAGGAAATGTGTGAAGAGGTTCCGTTTTAAGATTATAGAGGTGTGGTTCTCAATCATGGCTGCATGTTGGAAAACGGAATCACCTGGAGAACTTCACAGACTACTGAAGCCTGGGTTTCCCCCCAGGCCCCAATACACTGTGGTCTAATAGTCTGGGAACAGTTAGGTGAGGCTAATGGGCAGTCCGGCCTAAGAAACACTGCTTATAGACACAGAGAAGGGTATGCCAATTGCTTGAGAATAGTTAAAATATTTTTATTTTCAAAATAATTTTTTAATGTTAAATAAGAGCTGTGCAGGCCAGAGTTCATTTCCTCTGCCACCAGCAGGGTGAACTCTGCCCTATTCCTCAGTATAATTTCAGGGTCAGAATGGGAGGGAGGGAAGAAGAGAGATGGGTAGGTAGATAGACAGATTTCTTTCAGTGGAGGGTGTGGCATAGTCTGAACTTTTTCCATCTCAACTCTTCTCACCATTTCCTATTTATGAAACCATTCAACCACAAAATGTTCCTGGGGTAAAAATAACCTACTTTCAAAGGAATCTCTACAGTATATCCTATTCTTCAACAGAAGATGACCTCAATATACTTATTTAATGTGTACAGTACTATCAGATTATAGAGCCAAACTGCTTAAACTTTTTCAAGAGTCATGTTTTAAAAGAAAGCCAATCTTAATCCAAGCCAGGTCAAGAGATCCTACCTAATTAAACAAATCACAGAACACAGCATCTGATCCCCTAGAAACCCACCTATTCAGGCGGTAGGTACATAGCACTGCTGAGTGAAATGTCATTTGTCATTGAAAAGAAAAGCAAAAGCTGCATGTTATTAGAAAATGATCACTGAATGGCCTGCAGATGAGAAATCCAAAGTAAATGTTACAGAAGTTGAGAGTGAATACATTTTAAAGAGAATAAACTTTAGCCTGCTTGTGAAATAATTCTTCCTACATAATCATACTGTAAATGTTGCAGCACAACAATTCAAAAGGAAATGGCAAAAGAGTAAATTAAGCAATGAACTTGAAGCCCACCTATTCAAACTAGAGAGGGACATTCCCATTTTAATGATCCTGAATCACCGTTCACCAGCACCCCCAACACCACCACCTGCACCACAACAAAGGCAAATCAAAGGAGTAAGAAAATTAAGATTGATTTTCATAGTGGAATAATGCAAATAAAGTCTGTGATTAGGAAATCAAGGCTTCATTCAACAAGCTTCAGCATTTGAGGCAATGGAGCTTCAGCAATAACTGAGGCAATGGACCTACTGGACAAAATATTTTGTTATTTGTTTGAGTTTTCGAAAAGCAGAGACACAAAAGTGAAACCTAAGAAAGTGGACAAAGTGCTTGGGATTAACTTTCTCATCATGGTTCAGATTTTTGTTAACTGAATAAATATACACTGATCGTCATTATTGGTGTTAGGCACTTGATAGCACTTGTGCAGTGCTGAGGATATAATAGTGAAAATGAAGTCCCTGCCTCTATAGGTCTCCTAAACTAATAAACAAAGGCAAATAACCTCCCATAATCCTTCTGACATCCCCTCCAGCCATGTTTTTGAAAATCCATTCCTCTTGTTGTACTACTAATCATTAAGTTTTCCCTTGGTCTAACTGCACTAAAATTCACCAGGGAAGCTGTTGATAACTTCTAAATAAATAAGTAAATAGCTACCCTTCTAATATAACTCATGGGTACGTTTCAACATGTTTAAGGAAATTTTTTAACCTAAAAGTATATCAAAACAGGTTTTCATTTTGAACTAAGTCCAGCCACATTATTTTCATTGCCTGTGGCTCAGTGAGCTAAAAATACTTTCCTTTCTTCTAAGTTGGGAAGAACAAATAAGATCAAGCAATCAGCTGCCTATCATTTTCTCTCATCTTAAATTTTTTACTAGAAAACACTCAGAATACCTAAAGCAAGGAAAAGTCATCTGTTTTATATTTGTATACACATACACAAAGAGAAACCCCCTCTTAGCTTGTAACTGCCTACAAATATAAAATAAGCTATATTTGCATTATCAGCAAAAACTGTCAGCATTTCACTAAGTACTGCTCTGGTGGTGGGGGGAAGCTCCATAAGTGTTGAAAATAAATAAGTACAGTTGAAAGCTAAAAGCTCCCCCCCCCATATATATGAGTGTGTGTTTATAAATATAGATATGATGTTATATTCATAACAAGACCACGTGGAGCTTACCTTGCAGTCATGCATCATTTATGTTTCTGAAATTTACGTTAAATGAGATTCTAAAATAGAAAGATACAAGCTTTAAGTCTTTCTATGGGTTTTATACAGGTTTTGTTCCAGTTTTGTTTGCTCTGCCTGGCAAGGCAAAAATGTGTGTTTCTTCTCTTTGACTTCACAAGACTAACTGTGAAACATACACACATACACACACACACACACACACACACACAAGCACATGCACTGTGTAATTAGCTAAAAACTACCTCTTAAAGGCAAACCTTAAAAAAAAACAAAAACCTGCAGGATGGTGAACACTTAAACAGTGTGGACTTTTCTCACACCCCCCAACATCTCTCAAGTCACCTATTAAACTAAAAGAGTGAAAAAAAATCAAAACTACCATCTCTAAATTCTATCTGACAAGGCCATAAGTTTGTCATAACTTAATTTTTCCTCGAAAACCAGCAGTTGAGAAGGTGACTGACAAAATCCACTGGAAAACAAATTACCTAAAACCTCAGAACCGTGCCCTTTGGGGTGGGCTGGCAGAAGCGTCCGGAAGGCTCTTCTGCCGGGCTGGAGCGAGGCCTCTGACAAGAGCTCTGATAAAGGATTCCCAGTGCTCCGGTCCAGCAAACACGGGATGACAGACTGGGGCAACAGATTTCAAAAGTAACCGCTGGGAGGAAGCAAGAGGGGAGGGTCAGTTCCTCTGACCCTGGGGCCCTGCAGCCTGGTCCACTCTCTCAGAAATCCTTGAAGGTCAGAGGTGGCACCCGCAGTGACAATGAGTCACCAAAGCCACTCTCCCGGAGGAAGTGCGGGGAAAGTTTGCCACTGGCCGCGCGCGTCCCGTTAACCATACCTTGCAACTGGGCAGAGAGGGACTCCTGGTGCTGCTGGTACTTGAGCGCCACCGCCTCGGCTTTCCGCAGCTGCGTCTGCAGCTCGTAGTAGAGCATCGCGCCGTAGAGAAAGCCGAACACCACTGTCAGCAGGAGCAGCGTCTGGAAGATCCGCTTCTGTTTTCGGGAGCACATCCCGTTTCCCATAGTCCCGCCTGAGCCCTGCGCCGCGGCGGTCGCCGCCGAGTCCACTCCTCGCCCCGAGCGAGCGCGCACCTCAGCAGCGGTCACCGCGGCGGCCGGCTGGACTCAGCATGAGGAGGAGACGCGAGACACAAAAGCGGGGCCCGAGGGGAAGCGGCGGCCGCTCAGCCCTCGCGCGCGGCGGGGCGCGCAGCCATCGACGCCGCCCGGGCAGCGGCCGCCAAACTTCTGCGAGGACGGCGGTGCACGCGAGCCCGGGCCCGGGAGGGGGCCCTCCGCATACTTCGCCTGGCCCGCCTGCCTGCCGCGCGGGCCCCGGACGCCGCCCGCGCTGGAGTTCCTCCTCCCTACTCTTTGGCCCCACTACCCCGAGACTCCGGGAGTTCCGCCCTGACCGCTCCTCTCGCCCCGCTCCGAACCCCACTCCGCGACTTTGTGACCACCTCTCCCAAAAGCAGAGGGCGTGCGCCCAACAAAGGGACCCGGCGGCGCCCACACGCACGGCCCCCCGCGTGAGTGGACAGGCGCGAGTGGGGCGCCCGGGCCCGGAACGTGGGAGAAGGTTAGCCGGTGCCACTGACGGGGCTGCTTGAGCCTGGGCCGCCGCCACCTCCCACCCAACTTACGTGTCACCCGCGGCCGCTATTCGGGCCAACGGGATTCCGGGAGGAAGTCCCACTCGGGCTTCCCCGCTCATTGGGCCGGTCCGAGCCGCCGCTCCCTCCCTCCGGGGTGGCAGAACTGGGCCCGATTGGACGCCCGCTTTGTCCATCCGACCCCCGGGCCTCGCCTTCCCTCCCAGCTAGGGGGTCGGCGAGGAGCTCCGTTGGCCACCTGGAGCCGGAGTGCGCCCACGTGGAGCCCGGGCGGGTGGGGAGCGGCGGGGGAGCAAGGGTGGGGAGTTGGAGGTGGGCGAGGGACGTGTCACGGCCTGAGCCTGGTGAAGTTCAGGATGCACTCTGTGTGTGTGTGTGTGTGTGTGTGTGTGCGCGTGCGCGCGCGCGCTCGGAACGCACGTGGGAGAGGAGTACAATGTATGTATAATACAGAGACATGGCTCGCAGCAACTGTGTGCCCTCTGCCCAGTGCCCTTTAGGTTTCCCTATTCCGTGGACTTCTGTGGCACTCGCACCGAGGAGCGACTTGGCACAATCTCTGTGATTAAGCAGGAGATGCCCCGCTCAAGACTACGTCCTGCCCAGCCACTTAACTAGTCTGGATGCGTGTGTCCCCGCAGATGTTCGCTCGAGTTGGGAGACTTGAAGCGCGCTAGTCTTTCTGCTCAGCTGGCCACGTGGGGTGGGGAAAGCAGTTTGCTGTTGGCAGAGGAAAAGAAATGATCTCATGTATTTCCCATGGCTGCAAATAGAATAACTTTAAAAACAAATCTTACAGGCCAAAAGGAGCATGCATTCGTTTTGGCATATGTTTGTTTTATTGGTGGCAAAAAAAAAAAAAAAAAGTCATTAGTTACATTTCTAAATTGCATTTTAAAGACCAACAAAGGTTCTATATGTAGAAAAATGAGTAAAACAAACATAATACCAAACCTCTTCAAAGAAATCCGCAGCTCATTTGTTCTTTCTACTTGCTTGAGGCGGGTGGGAGGAGGCTTATATTCTGAGTAAAGGGTAATTTTGTTTCTGGTCTGACCTGAATTTTAAGCGAAATAAATTACTTCTGAAACGCATAAGTAGCACGGTGGCATTTATGACATAGGGCATAATTTTTATGCTCTTCTAACTGGACTTTAATCATCACCACTAATAATGTATAGATCTGCTAGCATAGCCAAATGCAATCAAAAGGCAGTTCCTGGCGTAGAATTATTTTAGGCAGACTGAAGTTTTAGATTGTCCAAAGTCGTAAAATGAGCCAAATTTACAACCAAGCTATACTATAACACTTACACTACTGTGAAAATTAACTACCTGACGTGTACTTGTCTTGAATTAAAAGTAACTTACATTAATTATAGTTTTCAAATGTTTTTATTACAGATACACTATCTTGCTTACCACAACCAGGGAATTACACTGTATTTACATGTTGGTAAATAAAAAACCAGATTTTATAAAAGTGAGTATAATAGCTCCAGGACCTTTGAAGTCTACCAGAAAGTTAATTGCTCAGCAAGATTACCAAAATCTTCCTTTTTCCTTCTGTTTCTCTTATAGAAAGCAAGTTCTCATTCTGCTTGAACAAGTTAAACAACCTGTATCTGTTCCATTAAAATGAGAACTTAATTTTTTTAAACTGATATAAAGAAATTGCAAGGTTTTGTTCTATTGTATATTGTATAACCTTACTTGTTATTGAATCTATCACTCTAAATTTCCCTCTTTCAGTTTTATTCTTAGAAATTGACTGAATAATTACTGACATCACTTTAGAATTCTATGTAACTAAAAATCCCTTACAGTTGTCAGTGTAGAATTTGCCAAACAAACTCTCCTAGGAATAAAATTACTCTGGAAGAGATGAAGTTTATAGGAATAATTCTGGCCCTGTACTTGCATAGAAATTGATTTTAGCCCCAAAAGAAAAATAAGTTGTACAGAAAGTTAGAAAACTATGGCTCACAAATTACACAATATACAGTATTTAGTTGTATTTCAGGACATTTGAAAATTCATATGCTTCTTGAATATATGATTATTCATTTAAACCTCTGATTCCTGAAAAGTATTCTTTGCCTAAAACTGCTGGCAAACTCTAAAAAGTGTAATAAATGGAGCCCATAAAACACAACTCAATATTTTAGTCAAAATTTTAAAGAAATAATTATGGTTTTAACTTATCCTTTATTTCAAATTCAAGAAGGATACTAAAAACCACTAATAGTGGTGTCTCTATAGTAATTATATTTTGAAAGTGAACTATGCTACTAGTTTCTGGAAAATATCAGTATAGAGTTGAGCATTCAACACAAAGGAATCCAGGGGTCTATAAATTAAATTGACATAACATTGTCTTGGCTAAAGCATGTAATATATGACCTACTGATACTGCTCTGGAAAAATCTATTGTCACTTCTATTTTTTATTTTAAAATTAGTATATTTCTAATGTCATATTTAACAATATATATATATATATACAATTTAAAATTATAAATCCTGAGGAATTTCACTGCTGTAATAATTTATTTGTAAGGCAGAAAGAAATTAACTTAGACTCAAAATCTTGCTTTTGAGGAGGGCTAAGAAAACATTTGCAAATTTTAGCATTCTCTCTAGCTCAAGTGAATTTGACATTTTTATCAAATTTGTTTTCAGAAAAAGGAGATGGCAACAAAAATAAAGCTGAGGTATAATTTGTAAAAATATATGATGCTAAATTAATGTTTAGGATCCTAAACAAATGATTTCCTTTGTCTGAATTTTTTTGTTTAAATCTCTTTGCTATCAATAGAATTCAGTATTTTTATTTGCATGAGAAATCACTTAAATATAATCTTAAAATTTAAGACGGCTTTTCAGAATTAATAAACCACAGTGTTAACCTTTTTTATGAGGCCATTGCAGAAAACCAACTTTTATTCATTCTCTTTTTATCTCTTTACATTGCATTTCCATTTCACATTAGCTGTTACTTAATTAACATACTTGCTTCTCAACTTGCCACCTTTATCTACCTTCTTCTGATGGATAAAGGATACTACATTTAAGGTATTCTGTCCTTTTGAAGATTCTATGATACAAGTATTTGACAAGATTTTCCTAATGACCTGATCGTACTTGTCGGTAGATTACCAAAGTAACAAGTAGGCTGTACACATGACTGAGCTATGCTCCCACTCAATGTGTCTCTGCACCTTGCTTTGGTATGTTACTAAATTGCCACCTATTTTTGACCATTTAAGGAATAGTAAGTGGGCAAAGAGAAAAGTAGACAATGAGCTCTTTTTAAGAAAAATGAATAACAGCCGGGGATTTAGCTCAGTGGTTCCGCGGCCTGCCTCGCAAGCGCAAGGTCCCCAGTTCGATCCATGGTACCAAAAAGAAAATACCAGAAAGAAAAACAAAACACGTCACCAACAAATACCTTTGAATGCAGACTACTTTGATAATGGGAAGTGATTTAGAAGGCTCTGTTTGCCACAGTGGAGTATGATTAAAGAAACGGGCTCCTTTCTATCCTTTCACATTTCTTTAACAATATTCGGAAGCAGAACTATCTAACATACCACAAGCTATTCCAAACTTTATTTTTTTATTTTTTTATTTTTTTGGTACCGGGGATCAAACTTGGGTCCTTGTGCTTGTGAGGCAGGCAGCGGAACCACTAAGCTAAATCCCCGGCCCTATTCCAACCTTTAAAGCAGCACACAAAATTATGATAAATGTATTGTTTAAGGTTTATTATAGCTGGCATATAATGAACTAACTAGTATAGCAATTTTAGAAGAAAAAGTTTAATTTCATAGAATGTTAAAATGAACAAAAAAATCCATATTTGAGCCCCAGAAGTAAATTAAACTTTCCACATCTTCCAGTGGCTCACTCACCTTTTCACTAACATACGGCCTTCAATAACTCAGAGATCAGAGAGAAGCAGAGAGACCATAGTAAAGAAAGTGGCCAGTAAAATATGTCATTTTTCATGTTATCTCTGAAAAGAAAAAGAAAAATTGAATTTTATTGATTCCTTTGCATAAAAGAAATATGTGGATTATCCGTAACTATTTTATAGCCATCTATTATAATTTTAATATACTATAACATAGGTATTTATAGTAATTTCTTAAATGTCATGGGACATAGCTGATCATATTTATGATGTATTCAATGTCAAGTCCTGGGTCAGAAATTCAGCATTCCCCTTTGGTTTTCCAGAATTCTGTGACTATACTCTTCTCTTCCAGCCTCTCGATGCCACCCAGATGCATACACATTGGACTTTTCCTTCTTGGAAACTAAAGAGGCTGATTTTAAAAAATCCTTCCAAAAAAGTCCCATTGCTGTCATTTCCTTTTCA